TTTTTGTCAATGTAAGAAACATTCAAACCTGTGAAGACCTGTGAAGAATTTTTGTGACTTTATTTGAATCAAAGGAAGCAAATTGCCAGGAAGCAAAATCTCAACAGATTGAGATAATGCTCCAGAAAATGGCAGTTTTTCACACTTATTTTATGCATAACAATCAAAAGACAATACACAAGTGAGTTTCATGAAATCCATTGGTGATAGATTAGGAAGGTGGGAGAAAGGGGAAACCTCTGGGATTGGATGAAAAGTAAAATGATAAGACATACATCTTTTACATAGGTGGGTATAGGATAGTTAACAATTAATTCAATAAAAATGAGATTTTTGGTCTAAGCAGAGAAGTGCCTGTGCTTTGAGGGGTGCAGAAAAAGAAGAATTCCTTTGGCATTCCAAAGATATGTCATTGTAGATGCAAAAAGAAAATAGACAGGCTCAGTTAAGGTAAAGATTGACCTTTGTCAGGGAAGATGCTGGCCAAGACATTACTACCTGCCATAAACTGCTTTTAGTTAAAAGTTTTTATTTCAGACCTTCCTTTGTGGTTACTTTAGGTCCCTGAGTTTGGAAGGCTGCCACGCAGCCTTGAGCTTGTCAGGTTAGGACGTTGTCCCTTTTCATTCACATTTTTCAAGATGAAAAAGTTCTGGAGATCTGTTGCACAACAATGTGAATGTAATTAATGCTACTGAACTGTATATTTAAAGTGGTTAAACAGTAAATTTTATGTTATGAGGTTTTTAGTACAATATAAAGAGGCATTAAAAAACATGGACACAAAGTGCAAATTCCTGACACAGCAGGTGCTGTCTCAGCCCTTAATACATTTACACTCTAGTGACCTCCTAGGCAGCGGAGACTATTTTTTATGGTTTTCCTCATTGCTTTTATTTATTTATTTTATAATATGTTTTTTATTGATTTTTAGAGAAGGAGAGGGATAGAGAGAAACATCAATGGACTGCCTCCTACATGCCCCCTACTGGGGATTGAGCCTGAAACCCAGGCATGTGCCCTGACTGGGAATCAAACCAGTGACCTTTTGGTTCATGGGTCAAAGCTCAACCACTGAGCCACACTGGCTGGGCAAGAGGCACTATTTTTTACTCACACCTAGTGTCTAGCATAGAGCAAGCACTCAATAAGTGCTGGCTAATCTAATGTGGAGATAGAAAGGAATTTGAAAAGAGAGAAACGTAGGGGGAGGAGGAGAGAGAGATGAACAGCCCAAGCAGAACAGAGAAAGACATGGGAAGAAAGTATTGATCCCAAGAAAAAGCAATGTGTCCTAAGTGGGACCTGGGGGATGGTATGGCTAAGGGAAGGGGGGCGGGTCACAGTGTCTATAAAGGGAGCAGATATGTAAAGCCAGCCTCTGGCCTTTGTACAAACTACCACAATTACTCGTGGACATGTGATGAATAGAATCATAGCTCCTTAGGTGCCAGGAAGAATTCGAATTACAGCCAGATACCATGGGCTAAGCTTGGTACATTCTGATTTAGTTTAAATAAGTCTGTTCATTTCAGAGATAAATGAAATCTCGCCTGTGGCCGTCTCACACCACGGCCTTTAGACCACTTTTCTAACTCCGAGGTGCTTAAATCTCAGGGCTGGGATACTGCGCCTGCACGAAGATTCGGATGGATACAGGGGTGGTCCCGCCGCCCTCCCCTCCCCTCCCTAGAGGGGGACTGCCGGTGAGTAGACGGAGACTGAGGACGTCAGAGGTCGGTCCTCGCTGGCCGAATGTGAGGGGCGTGGCCTAAAGGGCGCGTTAGCACATAAGGGGCGTGGCCTAACGGGGTTGGCTTGTAAGGGGCGTGGCCTGAAGGACGCCACGAGGGCAACCACCTGCCCCGGCTCAGAGCTGTGCGGGTGCGCATGGAGAGGCGGGAGGACCGAGGCTTGCCGCACAGCCCCTGGGCTCCCGGAGGCTGATGGCCGGCCATGGATCTGCACCTCAGCGACTGCCGTAAGGCTGCCCACGCTAAGGCGGCCGCCGGCAGTCTAACTGACGACGCGAAGCAGTGTCGCATCGTGAGTGGCGGCCAGTCGGCGGCCCTCCTCCTCCTCGCGGCTCCCGGGCGGGCTGGCGGAAGGGGCGG